CCAGTAGGATTTATGAACAAAGGCAGAAAGAGCAAACTTACTCCGCATTAAAATTGCACTAACACTCTTGCTTTTATAGCGGCTGTCAACTTCCATAGGCTCTATATGCATCCATGGGGATTTTGTCCAGATATTCTATGAGATTCTGTATTGTTGTCGAAACCTTTCATAAACACATATATCAAAATAGGCACTGTCAAAAACACAAGGCTTCAGTGTTAACCATGCTCAGATTTTGCAACTGGCTTTGGTTATAAGTCGCTTCAGTTTTCTGACAGAGACAGTCATCAACAGCAGTAAAGGAAAGTTCTAAAATTAATTTTGCAACTAATTTATCACAAAGCCAGCAAATACTCACCATAAAAGTTATGGTAGGTTTGGGAAGATTAGTTTGTGTATACTGTCTATAAAAGTATATATTTTTCCTTTTTATTTATTTTATTTTAAGGGGCTTTATCTGATAGAACAGTGCAAAGAAGTATGTAATATTGAAGATGAGATTGAGTTGTATTTTGCCCCCATTAGCTTGACAGCCTTAAATAAAGGTGCAACCAATTCCACCCGGAAGGGACCCACTTTGTAAATAGAGTCCAGCTGTGTGTAATTTCCTCCCAGTATAAATCCAGCAGTTCTGAGAAGGTCTAACAGGTTTATTGGAGAACATCAGTGAACAAACAGCACCATGAAGGCTAGAGCTACACAATACATTAAACTACAGTTGTTATGGCAATGTCTAATGTGTAATAACTTGATTCCAAAGGACTACTTAGCCAAAATTTTTAGAAGGTCATATTTCTGGTATAGACATATTAATTTTGTCTGCAGAATGCCCTTTATATGTTTAAGAGCCAAAGACCCTTCCATTGAGTAAGATGACATTGTCCGAAGGTAAAGAAAAAAAGGCAAAGTCACTGCACTTGGTTTTAGCAGAAGTTTTATTGTTATCTTTTTTTCCTGACATTGTGCAACCCCAATTAAGACCAATGAACACAGCCCACAGGTTAGAGAGATAGTTGTGGAAAAGAATGGGGAGGGGTCTCATTTCCATTAGAACAATGCCCAGAGTATAAAGCTACTGTACAATAGACTTGTTTTGGATAAAAACACAGTCATTTGTTGGTATGCCCAGACAAATTCCTTAAATCCATTTAAATCTTAAATCCATTCATACAGATGAGAACCTGTTTCAAAGTTATAAACTATATATATAAATATAAATACCCATCTATATAAATACCCATGTAAACACCCTGTGCAATAACCCTGTATAATAAAAAAAAAAACTGTCATATGTGGATGCACTGTATATACTGTATATATCTCATGTACCTTTTTCTACCTTTGGCACTTTCTTCTTCTTTGACTATTTGAGCGGATGTAACGAGAAAAATTATACACTGTGAGATGAATAAAATCAATCAATGAATCAAACCTTACTGACCTTATTAGTATGTGATGATTCTGAGACCTGCTACTTATAACCATGCCAGAACTGACAAAGCTATATTTATGGTGAGATATTAAACATCTTCAAGTTCCAAGTGAAGTACCCCATTTAAGCCCTTAGCAATCAGGTGGTGATCTGTGATTCCGAAACAGCAACAGGGCAATCTTCCAACCTCTCCTAGCAGCTTGCATGGTCCCTGCCTGACCAAAGTCCTACATCATTGTGCATCTCCCCAAAACATTGACCCATCCCAGTTGGTGATTTAAGAGAACCCTCCTTAGCAAAGATAGTGTCCCTGCTGGACTGTACAGCCTACAGGTCATTTACAGGTAGACTCATTCTACAGAGGATGCTGTCTCATTAACATTTTATGACTTTAACTCTTCTGTAGCATCTTTACACCAATGTTAGGAGCCTTTTTATGAACAGCTCAACCTTAAAAAATGTTCTTCTGGACATGTGGACCCTGAGGTTCTACATGTCAGTGTTGAGGACCAGTAGGGAAGATATGATCTTTCTTATCCTCACCACTGGGTGTGTGTTTGTGAGAAAGTCACTTATCCAGAAGTGAAGCAGTGTAGATAAATCCAGGTTATGGAGCCACTTAGGTATAAGACCTTCCACATACTCATCCAAAGACCCAGGAGGTCAGAGTAGACTAAAGCAGGGGTCTTCAAAGTTTTCAAATCCAAGGACCCCCAAACTGATTGTGAGATGGAGCGGGACCCCCTAATTATATATATTGTATGAAATAGTGTTCTATCAAACTGGTCCTATAGTCACTCTATTACAGATGGAGTCATGTAACGAAAGTAATCCCTCCCTGGGATTATTAAAGTATTTCTCATTCTGATTCCTGGGTGATGGGACAGGTGTTGTAAATGAAACGGTGCCCAGGTTTGAAAGAGCCCCTGTGTGTCGCTAAATGTGTGCATTGATGACTGGAGGACATCTGCTTCCAGTTATCTGTTTACCACAGTCTGTTGAATTCATGTTAATGTGTATTTAAAGACATTTTAATTAGTGCAAAAAATTGCAGGAGGGAATTTTAAAAAAAGTAATCAACCAAGACTTTCGCAACCCCCATGCAGTACCTCTGCGGACCCTCTAGGGGTCGCGGACCCCCTGTTGAAGACCTCTGGACTAAAGGAAGACCAAACATGCTCCTCTCTGTTTACAGGAAGAGTTGGTAAAGCGTGCAGAGACCATAGAGTTCTGCATATACATACAACATTTCTCAGACACACAAACAAAATCACGCACACATTACTGATGCTTGTTCATAATGACATGCAACTGGATGCCGTTGTATTCTTTCTAGGTATAGGAATTAGTTGTTAGGAATGAATGTTAAATCAACATTGTGTAACTTTTAGCCACTAGGGGCACTAGACCTGTAACTTCCAGGTGTTGTGCCTCTCAGAGCTGCTGGCCAACGCTGTTGCAAATTTAAGCAGTTTCCCTCCATGCTTTGGTAGCGGGCCACTTTGGACCAGCAGGTTGAGAAGTAATGGAGTTCCTGATAAAGACAAGGCAACATTCAGCCCTCTAGATTAAATCCTACATGAGAGAACGAAAAAATATTTCAGATTAGGCAAATGTAACCTCTTTTTTTGTTGCCACAGCAATTTGGGAGCTCAGACTGTCCTAAATTGTTATCAAATTGTATGTTTCTGCTAGAGAAGTGTAGGGTTGAAAATGAGGAGTTTGTTCTATCTAGCCCTTTAAATTGACAAATACTCTTATACTTTTTTTTTATAAACTTACTCAAAAACTCTGTGTTGCTGACAATCAAAATGACCAACCAACTTATTTCATTTGGCTTCATATTTTTAAGGGAGTCGTCAGAGAATTATATTTCTGCCTTCATTCTAACTGTGCAATCGGAGCTGAGTGTCTAAACAAAATATCCTTTTAGTTTTAGAATGTAAAAAAAATATGATTCATGAGAGGTCTGCTATGAAATAAAATATTTTTTAAATTGCCTTTTTGTTCAACCCTTTATGACTAAAAGAAGACTGGACCCTCAGTACATCAGCACTGATGCATCTTTAAGCCTGAAGCCTATTTTTCTTAATTTTTTGGATACTAAGAAGGGATCTAAATCTTGTTCAACTCAGACACCAATGATAACTCCAGGTAAAGAGAAAAAAACATAAGGTACAACACAAGCTATAAAAACAAGAAAAAGAGTGCTGGAGTTCTGTGTTTTGGCATTATCATTAGAAAGCTCTGTATTGCCTCTTTAAATAAGTAATTAAGAATCCTTTGGGAAGCAACAAGTCAGAAGCCATATTTTATGGTTTTTCAGCATGTATATAAAGTCTAAGTACACTGGAGATCCTCTTGCTCTGCTCAATTTCTTTACATCTCTTTATCTTGTGAAGCCACATTCAGTGGATAAATGCATGTTGGAATTGGGACGATGGAGTAATTGGAGATCATAAAAAGTTGGGGGGTTGCCTGTTTTAAAAGCAATGTCACACACAACTTAAGTATTGTGCAACATCTTCATTTTCCTGGTACAGGAGTTCTTGATACTGTGTTTCTGTGAAAATCTATCAGATTTGAGCAGCGCTCCTGTATTTTATAGACTAGAGCTCCTTTACTTAGATCTGTATGAAACAGCACACCCTGCTGGTGAAATGTGCAAACTGCACACAGAGTTTCAATGAAATGACAGATTCCTCCATTCAGCTCACACGTGCTCTACTCATAGCCTGTTATCGGTCTGCTTTTAGACTCTCCTACATTGTCGGACAGGTTTATCTTTATTGGTGATATAGTGACATCATGTCCATCATCTTCAACTGCTTTTCTCTCAATTCTCCCTTGGTTTCCCTGGCTCTTATAATAAGATGTTTTGAAGGGAGTGGGTGAATGGCCATCCATTGTGTCGCCACCTCTAGAAGTCTGAATGAGTTTGGATGGCTCTCTTTTTTTCTACCCTGCCGCCTTTTATACTCCCCAATGCTCCTCCTTACACCCCCTCCTAAAAATCTTCTCCCCCCTCACATTAAAACAACACCAATCTGCTGCAGCCCGGTAAAAAAGGAGCTTTGGAGTCACAGCAGCCATAAAGGAGGCTCCACGCACAGACACACATACACACGCATCCGTCTGGAAGGAATTAGACAGCTGAAAAAGCGGCTGAGAGAAACTTTTGGCCACTTCTGTGCGCTCCGTGTAACCTGGATGCTTGGGAAGACTGAATCCCTCACTTTGATGCGCCCCCAAGGACAGCTGAAGCTGGCAGCAGAGATTTGATAGCTAGAAAAATACTTTTTTTTATTATTTTTCAAAAATCGGAATCTTTTTTTTATTTTATTTTTGTGACTTTCATAAAGTTTTAATAATATGAAAGAAATTACCACAAACTGATATTGATTATTAGTTTATGTATTTTAGCAGGTTTGATTTTGCATAAACTTTTCATTTAATTGGCAGACAAAATGTTTGCATTTGTAAAAGAAGATGCATGTGGCCCCAGACTGATTAGTTAGAGGACAAGCATTATTCCCGAGGATAAGGATTGTTTTTTTGTTTGTTTTTTTGATTTTTTTTTTTTTTTTTTACTATAATCATTTATAAGGGAAATATTGAACGCATTCATGAGAACCACTGCCGTTCAATTTTATTTGCCACTTTCTTCATTTGTGGACCGCTACCACAGCTGACGGAGGTGAGCGCATCCCCTCTGCGGACCAACTGAAGGACAGCAGCTGCTTCAAGGTAGGCGGCCCTGCGGTGAGGTGACCCTGATCCCAGATGACTGACAGAAATGTCAACATATGATAAAAAAAAAAAAAACTTTCATTGCCTTTTTTTTTTCTTACATATAAACAAACCGATATCCTGATACTTTGTCCATTTATATCATTCCAAGGCTTCATCTAATAATTGCATGACTGAAATTATGTGTAATAAACAACTTTTAATATGCTTGGGATGTTTAAAGCTTGGTGAACCGGGTCACCTTCCGCAGTAAATACTGCATTTAACAGATTCTATGCCTGTTTATCAGCTCATTGGTTAATATTTTCTGATTATTTTAATGACTATAGGCAGTGGCGGTTCTAGACCAAATGTACCAGGGGGCCAGGAGGGGGCCAGTGTGTTTTCATGGGGGCACAGATAAGCATGAAATGAAAAACAGGGCAAGGGATTCCAATATATTAAGATGCATGAGGTGAAATTTATATTCAGTTAGGTTTAATTAAAATTCTATTTCTTATTAGGTCAATATACACTCATAATTTAGGAATTGTACATATTTTTTTTTACTTTATTTAAGTTACATTTAAAATTTTCTATAAAATCTGAGTAGGAGTATTTTTTTGAGATCCTATCTCATTACCACTGAAGCTGTCACCCTATTTTGTTTAAATAATTAGTTTTAAAAAAAATTGTAAAGAAAACAAATATTTCCGAAAGACCTATTAGTAACCATGTCTGTTTCAGTGCAGATCATTATTAGAACTTCTTTGAGGATTATGTCTTCAATCCAGGGTCCAGAACATGATCTACAGGGGCACTGGCCCCTGTTGGCCCCTGTCTAGAACCGCCCATGACTATAGGTATTATTACCTCTCATAACTGGTATTTTTTATGTCTCTCAAATAGAATTATTTCTAATGAAAGAAACTGGTTTGTGGAGTTTGGTTAAGAATAAATGAAACTGATAAACGGGTTTTGCGTCATTCCATCGTATTTCTGGGCCAATGGAAATGCTTGATCGAGGATGTAATGTAGGACCGCGTAATTAGATATCTAATACTCTAAAACTCTAACACTACTTAATGATACATAGCCTTAAAGGGTAGGGTCATTTTTAAGGGAGGGTTAATGTAGAGATGTAAAAGTAAATCCTGCCTACAAGACCAAACAAGACATGACAATGTGTTCACAGGGACCACATGAGATTTCTGTGGGGAAACTAAGAATCAATGATGTATGTTTTCAGAATTAAATAATACTTCCAACTGTTCAGTAAAGAATAATCTAGTTCAGGTGCAGAGGTTGGCAGTTAACTGTAATGAAGTTGGAAAAGGACAGGTTATCTTTAACTTCAAGATTCAAACTAATCTGGAATAACTAAATCAATATATCAAGAAAACATTTTCCAAACTTTGAAATCCACTTAATTTTAAGATACTAAGTTATTACTCTAAACAGCAGTGATGTAAAATTTGTAAGTAGAGCTGGGTTTATGAAAGTTGCTCATGCATTATAAGCATCTGTGCCCCATTTATGCACTTCTAAATGAACATCTGGCCCATTTGCTTCCTCTGTCAACCTACTGTGACATCTCAGAGCCCAGATAGCCTACCACTTTTGGCTCATATACTGTATAACCCACACGAGGAATGCCCATCTGCGTGTTGGAAGCCTAGGCATTCCTAAAATGTATCCATAATGGACAAAAAAGTTTTCAACCCACACAGGAAATCTGCTTCCTACTGACCAGGGATATTGTTTTTAATGTAATATAATTATGCCAATATGCATCTCCAACCCTTGACCCGTTATAATAAAGAATTCACTTTTTTTTTGTCCAGTTTAAATAACAGTTTGTGACCTTCTTTGTTTTGAAACATAAATGCCAAGAGCGAATGCACATCAAATAGTCTTTTCTTTACCAAGTCCATGAGTGAACTCTCTGGATTTGTGAATGAATGAACAAAATATGCTGATCCTAAGCTCAACCCTCAAGGGAGTTCCCATGCTGACTGTAGTCAAGAGAGTGTGGGGGGGGTCTCACTATTGTGCATTTTAGTGAAATAATTTAATCTAGGTGGTCTGATGGAGGTAAATCTTTCTATTTAGTTGAAGTTAGGACATGTAGAAAATGATATTTTTTTTTCTTTGCCTGGCACAGTCATGCAGAAGTGCAAACTCATCAGTTTTCTTCCACTTGCAGCACTCAGTGGTTTACTACCAAACACAGGAAGGCTTTCCATGGCTGCCCTCCATTAGGGTTCACAACAAGCCTCAGATGCCATTTCTGCTCTCAGCAAGGGTCCCTCAGTACACTGAGCCTCTGGGCTCCAGACTGCCTGGGAGGACAAGAGTGGTTTGGTTTAGCCCCTCCTCTCTACCAGCACCACCAACTACCTCACCTCATAGTTTGATTTTTCCAGGTTTTCATTGGTAAAAGCAAACTGAAGCATCACTGGAGCCAGCCAGTAAAAGTGAAAATTTGGATCTGAGTGAGAGTTACATTTAAATTCCCATTACGTCACCCTGAGCCATGCAGAGTATCACAGGGAGGGTTAATGCCAGTGCACATTAAACGCTGCACCGAGCCTTTTATGTTAGTTCACAGTGGCACACCTAACTTCATGGGTTTCTTAGTGCATTTCCAATTTGAAGGTTTCAAAATATAAATCTTGATATATAAAAAAGCAAAAGAAATCCAGATAAAAACTTCATGATCTAATATCTGTGGCCAAAAGCTTTGACAACTTTACCAGCTTCACGTTTTAACGTAACATTTTATTATGAAAACTCAGATAAAGTTTAAATTACTTTAATTAATGACAATTGGGTGCATTGCTATTAATTGCAATATTAATTAAATCAACTTCATAATAAAAGCTTAATTAGTATTTTTTTGCCATGCCACTAGCAGCTTTTTAACGATCCTATCAGTAGCTCAGTGAAAAGTGTCGTTGAAGACAGGACAGCTGATCAAACCTTTATTGTGATTTAATTAGAAAGCTGTTGGTTTAAAGGGAGGGCTGCTTAATCCCCCCAACCATTGCCTTAAAAGAAAACACATGCAGTTGTAGTTGTTTTGCATCAAGAAAGCTCTGTAGGCAAGAATGTTAGTGCCAGGTCTTCAACCCCAGAAGTTTTAATGAGAGAGAAGAAAAGTTAAGGGTGTCCTAAAACATACAGCAATGGAGAGTCATCACAGAAAGATGATTTAACATCAGGATTTCATTACCAGCAGTGGAGAAGTTGCTTAATACTTGCAGGGAGGTAGAAGAGTTTCTGCACCTTGTTGTGGAGAAGAACATCATCAAAGACGAAAACTGATTTCGCTGGAATTATCCGGATTGGAATAAAAAAGACTAAGTACATTTAGGCTATTTCAGAGAGTATTTGAGAGATAGAAGAGGTTTTAACACCCTCAAGATTTGTCTGTCATGTTCACAAGGACAGATCCTGAGACAATTCAAGTGTTGGATCGCCTCTTGTCGAAGGCAGTGGGCTCACTCACAGTTTTGCCCCCAAAAAATGTGATACCTGAAGAAGGAGATAGCGACATCCTTGAGGTGCAATCGTACCCAACAAGCCAGGAGCAATTTGGGGAAAGAAGTTTTATTCAGCATGTTGGAGCATCGCACCACAAGGTAAAAGCAAGAAGTGTTATTTTGGGCCACTGTAATCACCAATTCTCAATGACCTTATTGAAAGTTCATCAGGGAGGCCAAAAACCAAAACAAACTCAGACATCATTATAACCTTAAGGGACTATGAGAGACTGGGTCAACATCAGCCCAGAGTCTGACATACAGCAAACTTGGGGGAACTGTAAGAGTTTTAAAATGGAAGGTTTTCATGCTAAAAACAGTCCTTTACATAATCTGTTGTATTTCTTAAGAATCACACATGAAAAGCTCAAATCTTTGGAAGGCAATACTGAAATATTTCCCTATATAATCAAGGAGGCTTGTCATGTTGTTAGACTTAAACCCTTCCAATTCTAGTTTTTGGCTGTTTTTGCAGTTTTATTCACAAGCCATTGTTATTTAAATTGCTATGGGACAAGTATTCTAGTCTGTGGTGATGTGTGTGAGATAAGGGAATGTCAATGCTAACCAGATGGCAAAAATTAGAATGTTTTAGAAACTTCTGGTGAGAAAGTTTTAAATGGTTTCGGAAGCCTATATATCATATTCCAGGATATAATAAGGAAATAATTTAGTCACCAGATCAGATGTGTAGTAGGAAGGAAGAGCAAACAGCTGTCCAGACAAAGATATCGTTGTAGTAGGAAAAATCCTTGGCTGTACCACATCTGAACATCTGGCCTCTCAGAATCTGCCACAGTGGTGTAATTTTATTACCACAGCTGGCAATGAATAAAGTCTGGTTTGCTACCAGGGTTTCAGCCCACTCTCACAGCACAAATGATCAGTATATATATTAAGAGATCTCCCTGGACATTTTTATTTTCTGGTCTTTTTTCAACGCTGCATACACTGTAATAGCATAACACTGGGTCAGGAAGAAACTTCATTAGTATAAAACAGCAGGATTTTCTGTTCATCTCAATCATGTAGTAGCATTGTCCCTTAGAGGGACGTGATGGTGTTAAGTTTTGGCTTTTATAATGACAAAGATCCCTCAGTAGCAGCTTACTTTGACCACATAGGGGGTTCATGAATGGGAAAGCAGAAGGAGAATGGGATAAATGGTGTTGTGTGGGGGGTCTGCCACTGTCTGGCTCTTGCTTTGAAAACCCACTTGACCTTTTAGTTCATTTGGAGATGTCCATTCAGAGTTTAACAATCTACATAGTAATGCAAAGCTTGCACTATAGGGCAGTTGAGGAACCAATTTTGAATTGGATCTTTGGGCACTTTGACATCATCGACCTTTCCCAAAAGTAGATGATTCCTATTTCTTTTCATGTATACATGAAAGGGTTCATTTTACAAACCAGGTTGTGGGTCAGCATCAACAGAAAAATAGCAGATGTTGCCAAAGAAAGAAAGATGGAT